GCAGGCCCCGTGGACGGGGCCTCTGGGAAGGGCCAGCACCGTGTGTCACTCAGAGGGGAGGGAGGGAGTCTGATGGCAGGGCTGTGGGCTTGTCTGCAAAGCCACCCAGGCGCCTGGGCGAACCGGGATGGGACACTGAGCGTGAGCTGCTGGGTGGCTCCCAGCACACGGACCTTCTAATTCCATGGCCTTTCTAGCAGTGAGGAAGCTGAGGCCACCGGAGAGGGCGTGACTTACCCAGGGTCCTGCCACCCCTGAACCCAGAGACAGACAGAAGTCCCGAATCCAGGAGCAGCATCATTTCCACTCTTGGGGCACAGGAAGGAATGAGAGGTTTTGAGGGGACTTTCATTTCTGCCGTCCAGCAGCTGAGAGGGAAGGGTCCTGTCTGCCCGGTGCACCTGTGCTGGGGCGGGGGGGGGGGGATAGCGAGGCAGGTGGGTCCCCAGCCCCTGTGCTGTCCTGACCAGGCCTGTCCCCACCTCTCCCCCCGTGAAGACTGTGGGGCCACCATGCAGCGATGGCCTCGGACCCCCAAGCAGTCTAGAGGGGCTGCCTCCATACATCAGTCCCGGGGCTGAGCTCCTGTCACCGCAGCCCCTGCCGCCTGCCCAGACCACCCACTGGAGCAGACGCCGTGCACCTGGAAGTGAGCAGCGCGGGCGAGAAAGCTCTGAGAACACGGGAGGCTGCCACTGTGGACGCCCCAGGCGTGAGCACTCTAGTTCTAGAATTTGCTCCCGGAGAAGAGAGCCCTGTGAGCTCCTCTCCCTGGGCAAAAGGGCTCTGGGGCCACTGATCGCCAGGACCTGGAGGTGCTTTTGCATGAGGGGAGCCCAGGCAGGGACCCCATCCATCCACGGGACCCATGCGCGCTGGGGCCGGCGGATGCTACAGAGAAGGGCAGAGGGAAGGAGGAGAGGCTGGAGAAGGCTAGGCTCCTGCCAAGCGTCTCCCCAAGGGCAGGACAGAGTCCGGGGCTCCAGGATCAGAGTGGCCACCTGCGGGGTGGCGGGAAGCAGCAGAGGTCAGAGCTGAGGGGGAGAAGGCGAGGGGTCCGGGGTCCGTGGTGGGCTCCCCACCCTCTTCACCTGCAGGCATCTGCTGGAATTAGGCAGGTTTCTCCTCTGCACACGCTTCCATCAGGCAAATCCCCGGGGTTCTCCAGGGCGAGTGTGGCCAATCAGGTGGTGTGTGAACCCAGCCCAGCATGAGTTGCAGCTGGCTTGGGCAGCTAAGGCGGCCAGGGGCGGGGACGGCAGAGCCGGGGAGGCGCGGCAGGGGCCAGGCTCCGAGGAGATGGGGTGCCCCTCCCCAGCCCCTCGCCAGCGAGACGTCTCTGGAGGCAGAGTGATCAGCGTCCAGACCCAGGGCAGACCTTGCTGCTGCGCCCCCACTCCCAGCTTTCCCAGGCCTGCCAAGCACAGGGGTCCAGAGCGGCTCCCGGGAGCCCAGCCTGCTCAGCACAGCCTGAGCCTCGGCCCGTAGCCCCCCTCCCTGCATCTGAGCCACCAGGGGGTGACCACAGTCTAAGGTCTGGGAAAAACCCTTGGGTAGTGGCTTCTGGGTCTGGGCCCAAGGACGGGCCCCCCAAAGCTGGGCCCTCCTAGCCCACCCAGCCCCCTGCACCCAACCCCATCTTGGCCCCAGGTAGCTCCAAGCTGGGGATCCTGACAGAGGAGGAGGGCATGTGTCCACGCTAGGGCCAGCCTGGGTCTCCCCTCCCCTCCCAAGGGGGCCAGTGAAACAGTCGGAGGAGAGTATGTGGACAAACACCCAGGGCTGGTGGAGGGGACCAGATTCGATTGGCTTCTCCAACCTCATCAAGGCCTGACTGCCCCCAGCCCTGCCCCCACCCAAGAAGCCAAGGCCAAGTGAGTGTGTTGGGGGGTTGCATCCTGAGACTCCCTGCGCAGCTGGGCATTTCATGTGGTCGCTACCCCCGTGACGTGGCCGTCAGCGTGTCTGGCTGTGGTAGGGGGTTGGTGGGTTCCAGGGGCGACCCATCGAGGGGATGCTAAATGAGATCTATTCCTGTGTTCCGGAACTGTTGTCAGGTTTACGGCTGTGGGGTTGTATAAACAGCGGGAGGCCGGGACGGAGCCACCAGGCCCTGGGCTTCCCCCACCCCAGAACGCGTCCCTGGATTTGGGGTAGCCTCGAGGCCCTGCTCTGATGCAGGCGGTATGACCGGGGGAGCATCAACCAGAAAGGGGGATGGAAACTCGTTTCTGGACAGTGCGGTCACTGGGCTGGAGTGAGCATGTAACCCCTGCCTGCCAGGCCCCATGCAAGGTTCCCCGACGCCCACATAGCCCAGGCGCCTCTGCCGCCCGGGCCCCCCCCCCCCGCCGGGGTCCTTGACACTCATTTCCGAAGGGCTATCTTGGTCTCCCATCATGCCTGCAGTTTGGAAGCTGGAGACCCAGATGAAAAAGCAGAGAATTGCCTAATAAAGATGCTCTCTGGGCGAGAAGGGGCCAGCCCTCCCTGGACGTGTACAGGTGGGGTCATTGGCTCCATTTTCCACTCACGCACAGGACAGATCCTGCTCCCTGGCCCGGGCTCTGCCTGCCACCGGCTCCCCTAGACCCCTTCTCAGAAGTGGCTGCGGTTCCCATGTGGACTGAGCCCAGGCTGGGCCCCCGCATTTCTTCGGTGATGGTTGAGGCGGGGGGATCTGGAGGGGAAAGGGGTGAGACAGACTCACCCCTGGCAAAGCAGCAGCCCCTGCCTAGCAGGGGAGAAGAAGGATCCTCACCTCATCCTCTGGATGCCCCAGAGCAGCTCAGAGAGGTTCATGAATGTGCCTGAGGTCACACAGCCTTTGTGTTGGAGAAGCCACAGAGGTCTCCCACGGGACATCGGCACCCTGTCTGTTCTGGTGATTGATCTCACGTGTGGGAGGTGAGTGTGGAGGGGGCACAGGGTCAAAAATGGCCACTGACTTTCACTTCAGTCCTGAAAACTTCAGGTGGGGCAGGATGAGCCGGGTGTCTGTGCCAGCAGGGATTGGATGGGGGGGAGGCCACCCAGCACTGACGTGGATGGGGAGGGGATCCAGGTGGGGGCAGGGGATTGGAGTCCAAAGGACGTGGGCAGGCGTGAGCCAGGGAGCTGCTAATGCCGAAGGGGGACTTCTAGAATGAACACCATGGCCCTGGACCTCCACGGGCGTTTGGAGGTCCTGCCACGAACTCATGGCTTTTAACACGCGCAGATGGGCTTACGCGGAAGTCCGGCCGTGAGTGTGTGGTGTATGCACCCCGACCTCCTAGCTCTGTCACGGAGTGGCCCGGGAGCAGGGACATCCCACGGCTGAGCGCACACCCGGGGCCCAGATCTTTGCTTCTATTACCATTCTCCATTGGAAAGATTCGGGGATCCTTGGAGAAATGACTAATTGCAGGAGAAGTACGAGATGAGCCGGGGACATCTTACTGAGCAAGAGAGCAGAAGTCCTCAGATCATGACGAGGACACACCGAGGGACAGTGCAAATCTGGGATACACCAGAACACGGGGAAGAAAACCAGTGATAGTCACGGATTACAACCCGCTGAATAAAACAGGAAACCACGAGTCTGCACGGATATCGATCAGTTGATAAATTGGAAGTTTGATAGGGACCGGGATATTTAGTTTCGAATTACCTGCCCCCAAAACACTCATTAATTACCAACGAGAAAGAGGTAACTTTACGGTGGAGAAGCCTACCTAATCAGGCCATCAAAGAGAACATCGTCCGTGATTGGACAAAGCAAAGTCTGGCAGCACCCGCTAGGATTCAGTGAAAACGGGTCATCACTTCTAAGATATTCCTGCCAAAGAAACGGAACTTAAATCTCGGAATGAGTGTTGTAGGCACAAAGGCCTCCCCAAAGACGTGCACCCCTTAACCCCTGGAACCTGTGAATGTTTTCTCATCTGGCCCAGGGGACTTGGTAGAAAGGGACTAGGGTAAGAGGCCTTGAGATGGGAAAATTATCCGGGGTTATCTGATGAGCTCAATCTAATCATGTGACTCCTTACAACTGGAAAACTTTTCCTGGCTGGGTCAGAGAAATGCACATTGAGGGGAAGTTGACCCCTCCCTCCGTTGAAGCTCTGAGAGTGGAGGAAGGGGACCATGAGATGGCCTCCAGAACCTGGGGACGGCCCTCCGTTTACAGTTGGCAAGAAAACAGGGCTGTTGGGCCTGCCGCTCTAAGGAAGTGAATTCTGTGGGCGTTCAGGAGCAGGAAACTGATTTTCCCCTAGGGCTTCCGGAAAGGGGGTGGCCTGCCCAGGCCCTGACTTCAGTTGCTGAGACCCATACTGGACTTCTGATCTACAGAACCGTAAGATAAGGGATTTGTGTTGGGTAAACTGATAGGTTTACAGTGATTTGCTACAACAGCAATGGAGAACTAATACAATGAGGAGACATTAGACAGGCCCAGTATGAGGGACATGGGGTTAGTCATCAAGCACATAGAAAGAACTTCTCAAAATTCATAAGCTAATTAGAAGGATGGGTCAAAAGGACCAGGCATTCCACAGAAGAAATATGAGTGGACAATAAAAAATACGAGTAGGTGGTGGACCTACAAGTAAGGAGAACAAATTAAAACCACAGGAAGGGGGCGCCTGGGTGGCGCAGTCGGTTAAGCGTCCGACTTCAGCCAGGTCACGATCTCGCGATCTCGCGGGATCTCGTGATCTCGCGGTCCGTGAGTTCGAGCCCCGCGTCGGGCTCTGGGCTGATGGCTCGGAGCCTGGAGCCTGTTTCCGATTCTGTGTCTCCCTCTCTCTCCGCCCCTCCCCCGTTCATGCTCTGTCTCTCTCTGTCCCCAAAATAAATAAACGTTGAAAAAATAAATAAAATAAAAAAAAATAAAACCACAGGAAGATTTCATTTTGGTCACCAGATTGACCACATTGATGATACCAAGTGATGGTGACAATTCAGAGCAGGGGAGCGCAATGTATGGCCCTCAGGCCAAATTGGGCCGGCCAATATTTTTGTAAATAAAACTTTATTGGAACACAGACACGCTCCTCTGTTTACGTATTGTCTAGCGCTGCTTTTGAGCTACGACAGCAGAACTGAATGGCTGGGATAGAGTCCACATGGCTTGCAAAGCAGAACACATCATTTGCTATCTGACTCTTTGCAGGAAAGTTTTCCAGCCTCCGACGTAAACTCGCAAGAACTCTTATAAGTACTTTGAAGTACAGTATAAGCAGTTCGGCCACATCTAGGAACATCGAAGGCTCGCATACTCTTGAATCTACAATTCCCCTCGTAGGTTCCTGCTCTAGAGAAACTCTAACAGAGGAAAGAGACAATACTGTCACTGTATCACTGTTTATGATGGCAAATAACTGGAAACAAGTCAGGTGCCCTCAGCAGGAGCATAAACACATGTATTCTGGGCTATCTGAACAGTAGACTTCCAGAGAGCAGCAAGAAGGAATGATTCAGAGCAGCAGTATGATGGTGAATCTTGCCAGCGGTTGAGTCAAAAGGGAAGTTACAGAAGAATACACACGTGAGTCCACAAGTAGAAACATCAAAGAGGCCCAAATGCTCTACCCCCACACGCTGCTGAATTAGTTAGGCTACAACTTGGGCTTCATGCAATGGAGTCCAAAGTAGCAATGGCTTAAACGGGAGGTTTGTCTGCACTCCGTGGAGCAGTGTGGAGGAGGCAGTCAGGGGCTGGGATGATGGCTCTGCAATCTCATGTTGTCCAGGGATCCAGGCTCCTTGCAGCTGGCTGTTCCACTCCTGCCACGGTCCGCATGGCCCGAGCCGGCTTCCGCCCATGACCTCTATGTTACAAGCAGTAGGATGAAGCGTCACCAGACACAAGGGAGGCTGGGAAGTGCGTTCTTTATCCTCGGCAGCCGTATGTGCTGGCGAAATTTGGGAGACAGAAAAAATGAGTATTAAGAGACAAATAGTAAACTTCCCAGTAATCGTTTAGGGATATATCCATATGTGGTAAACCTTTAAAGGAAAGTAATGCGGGGGTGCCTGGGTGGCTCAGTAGGGTAAGCATCTAACTCTTGATCTCAGCTCAGGTCTTTTTTTTTTTTTAATGTTTATTTTTGACAGAGAGACAGAGCACAAGCAGGGGAGGGGCAGAGAGAGAGAGAGAGAGAGAGAGAGAGGGAGACACAAAATCTGAAGCAGGCTGCAGGCTCTGAGCTGTCAGCACAGAGCCCGATGTGGGGCTCGAACCCAGGAACCGTGAGATCATGGCCTGAGCCAAAGTCAGACGCTTAACCAACTGAGCCACCCAGGCGCCCCTCAGCTCAGATCTTGATCTCAAGGTGGTGAGTTCAAGTCCTGTGTCGGGCTCTGCGCCTGGCATGAAGCCCATTGAAAAAAAGGAAAAGTAATGAAATGATAAAATCTGGATAGTGATGATCCCGAAAAGCTGTGTCCACATCTGGGAAGTGGACAGGAAGGTAGACATGTGGAGGGGCCAAAGGGAGTCTCTAAGTTAGTATTCTGTCTTGAAGCCGAACGGTGGGGTCATGAGTATTTCTTATGCTCTGTGAAAAACACATTTGAGTTTCATATCCTATCTTGCATGCTAACATCTCACAAAAATTACGTAGGTAATAAAAAGGTTATAGAATGTATGTATGATTTCTATAAAGGGAAATAAATGGCATTTCCTGTTTTGGCTTTGAATTTAAGTACTCTTTACCTGGTATTCCCTCTTCTTCCTCTCGTGTCTGGGAACCTCTCTCGTGGGGTGGGGCGGGGGGAGAGCCTTATCTAGTGGCTGCCCTGCGTGCAGCTGAAGAATCAGCTTCTGCTCTAGGACAGAAGGTCCTTGGTGTGTCCACAAACGCGGTTGCCTTGTATCCTCCCCCAGCAGCTGGCAACTCTTCCTGTGCACAGTTCCAGTTTGCTTGGATTTACTTGCTTCCTCTTGAGAAGGTCCTTCCCAGCCCTCCTGCCTCTATGCATCCAGTCAGCAGACACATAGTGAGCGTCGCCAGGTGCCAGGAATTCACAGATGTCTCAGGGCCTCTCTCCATTCTCTCCCTTAGTCTTCCATTCCTGTTTGTCCCTCAAGGCCAGGCCTAGAAGCTACCTCCTTCTTGAAGCCCGCCTAGATTTCAGGGGTCCTATTGGTCTCTACCTCTCTTATCCTCTCACAGTATTTCCTCTGCTCCTTTTACAATGTTAGCTTCTCTCTTTGCACTGATCTGCGTGTAGTGCTAAAGGGCGCCGGCCCAGGAAGCAGATCCCCACGCCCTCTCCTACCAGCTGTGCGCCCACCAAACCTCTCTGTGCCTCCGCGTGTCACTCGTAAAACGGAGGTGCTAGCTCCTCCACACTGGTTCGGTGTTCAGCTCCAACACTTAAGCCCCGGTCCCCGCGGCCAGGGTACTCAGCACACGCCCCGAAATCGGTCCCAAAGTGTAATCGCTGAAACTGAACCCCCCAAGCCCCGCTCTTCCCCGAAAGGCGCCGCGCTGCCCTTTCTCTCTTGACCGCCACTGACCTTGTCCTCCAGCCCCTGCAAGGCGAGGCTCAAGAAACCGGATCCGCGGGAAAAGCGGCCCGAAGCTCGGGACGGATGCGGACCCTCACCCAGAACACGGCAGGCCCCGCCTGCAACCCGCCGACCGCAGGTCCCAGGCCCCGCCCCGGAAGCCCGCACCTGCTTCTCATTGGCTCACGATCAGCCGAGGCCCGCCCCACCAGGCCACGTCGATTCTTCCTTCACGCCAGCCCCGCAAGACACCGCCTACCCTTCCAGGTCCGCCTTTCATTGGTGCTCGCCCCTCAGAGCCCGCCTCCTGCCGTCACTTCCGGGCAGAGGAGGCTGCGGAAGGCGGAAGTGTTCTCGCAGAGGCGGCCGTGAAGTCGGGCTGAGGTGTCCCTGGCTGGTCCCTAACTACTCTTCCGCCTGTGGGCGCGGGGACCCGGAGGCGGCCAGCGAGAGCTAGTGGGGGAGGGGGGCGATGCCATGAGGCAGCCGGAAAGCCTGGCGAGGTCTGGAGGTTGACTGTCCCTGCCGCCTTCCCGTGAGGCCGCCGCCTCCAGGCAGCCGCCCGTTCCCCTCAGGGTCTCGCATCCTGCGGTCGTCCAGCGCCTGGGACCGGGGCTCCCGGGCCCTAGACACCGCGCTATGACGGCGGCCGCCGCCTCCAACTGGGGGCTGATCACCAACATAGTGAACAGCATAGTAGGGGTCAGTGTGCTCACCATGCCTTTCTGCTTCAAACAGGTGAGTCCAGCAGGACGCCGCGGGCTCACCCGGCCCAGGGTCCGCTGTTGGCTGGGCGCGGGGAGCCAGGGCCGGGTGGATGTGCGGGAGAAGCCCCAGAGGATTCCCTCCGTAAAAGGCGCGCGGTAGCGGAGTTTCGGCCTCGGCCGGAGAGTTCCCGGTTAAACGCTTGAGACCCCGGTGCAGAGCGCGGCAAAGCGGAGTGATGTTTCCCAGGTGGGGAGTGGCCACAGGATTCGGTGTTATTCCTCTTTAGGACTATAACTTTTTTTTTTTTACGGATTTTATTTGTAATCTCTGCACCCAAGAGATTGGGTGCTGGGGCTCGAACTCAGGACCCTGAGATCAACTGAGCCAGGCAGGCGCCCCCTCTTTATTATTATTTTTAAAAACCCTGACCCGACTCCATTTGTAATGGGGGCGTGGGGGGGTGGGGGGGGGGGCACAAGTCAAGTCCTTCGGTCCTGGTACTAGATTGGGGTGTTGGTTCCAAGGTCGTTACAGAATTTGCTAGATTGTGGGTGTCACCATATGTAAATCTTACCTCGGTTGAAAAAAGTCGGAAATCTATTTAAAAATAGGTGTCGGGCATCAACGACCGGATGGAAAAAAGTCACCATTTTTGAGATGTGGATTCATTTGGCTTCTGTTTAAAATAACGCACAAAAAATAGGTGTTTGGGACTTTGGAAGAGGAACGTTGGTGAAATTGTCAATTGGGCAACTTCTTCCCTAAAAATGAACTTCTCAGCTTCAGTGCCCGGTGGATGGAGTTGCGGGCCTCCCTGCCCGCTGGAGAGAGCTGCTTCCTGGGGGGAGGGGAAAAGGAAGGAGAGGGCAGGTGGCCCGCAAGGCCACACATACCAGTCTTGCGTGATGAAACCGAATGGGTAGAAAAATGAAAATAAAACGAAGTTTTGGAACTGAAAGTGGGCATCAGTAGTTTGATTCTGGAGAAACAGACACTTTGCATTTTTCATACTGAGCATCTTTTGGATAAAAATAGCACATTTATGTTTTTAATCTGGAGATTTTTTTTTTTTTTAATTTTAAAAGAGCGTTTATTTATTTTTGGGAGACAGAGACACAACACAAGCGGGGGAGGGGCAGAGAGAGAGGGAGACACAGAATCTGAAACCGGCTCCGGGCTCCGAGCCGTCAGCACAGAGCCCGACGCGGGGCTCGAACCCACGAACCGTTGAGGTCATGACCTGAGCCGAAGTCAGACGCTTAACCGACTGAGCCACCCAGGTGCCCCTAAAATTTTTTTATTTTAAGTAGGCTCCACCCCCAACATGGGGCTTGAACTCACGACCCTGAGATTAAGAGTCACATGCTCTACTGACTGGAGCCAGCCAGGCACCCCTGAATCTGCATTTAATTTTTTTTTTAATGTTTATTTATTTATCTTGAGAGAGAGAGAGAGAGAGAACGAGTGAGGGAGGGGCAGAGGGAGAGGGAGGGAGAGGATCCCAAGCAGGCTTTGCACTGTCCCTGTGGAGCCTGATGCGGGGCTCGGACCCATGTACCGCGAGATCATGACCTGAGCCACCCAGGTGTCCCTTTATCTATTTATTTTTATTTTTATTAAAAAAATTTTTTTTAACCTTTATTTATATTTTTGAGACAGAGAGAGACAGAGCGTGAACGGGGGAGGGTCAGAGAGAGGGAGACACAGAATCCGAAACAGGCTCCAGGCTCTGAGCGGTCAGCCCAGAGCCCGACGCGGGGCTCGAACTCATGGACCGCGAGATCACGACCTGAGCCGAAGTCGGACGCTTAACCGACTGCGCCACCCAGGCGCCCCAATCTATTTATTTTTAAAGTCAACTCTAGCCCCAACCCGGGGCTCGTACTCACGCCTCCAAGATCAAGAGTACACATTCTACCGACTGAGCCAGCCAACCAGGTGCCCCTGGAGATTCTTGGTCCCCCACCCAGGGCCTACCAGTCTGCATTCCTTTAGAGCTCCCATGTGGGTTACTGATCTGTTGACAGACACGTGGGCGGGAGGACAGGGGCCCTGCCTGCCGAGGTGACAGGCCACGCTGCACCTGCTGCTCCAGAGCCCACGGCGCCCATCTGTGTGTAAGCGCTGCAGATCCCAGCGTGCACTGTGACTTGCCTGGCATGGCCCGGCCTCCCGGGACACGTGTGGTTGCGTGCCTGCAAGTCCCGGCTGCCATCCTTGAAATCGGTCGGTGAGGTGCCACCGTGGCAGGGCTCTGGCGAGGCACGTGTTTGGACCCAGGTGACTCAGCCATCCCCGAGTCGGCTGTGGGGTGGGCACGAGGCCCTGTCAGAGCATTTAAACGTGGGCCAGACTCACTGGCCCAGGGGGAGCTCACAGCTGAGTGGCGGAGGCCCACGTGCACGCACAGAACCGCAAGTGGTTCCCCCGTCCTGAGGGCCTGGTGGGGTTGGGACAGCCACTCTCGTCTGGCCATGGCATCCCCTCCGTGGGCAGCCCTCGGCTGGAGCGCAGCAGGAGGCCAGTGGGCACTTTGGGGATGTGTGTGCTTAGTGTCCGATAGCCATGCCATTTAAAAAAAGTAGGTCTGGGGCTTTTTTTGTTTGTCTGGTTGTAGTAACTCGGGTCCTTTAAGCAAAAATGGACATTTTGCCGAAGCAAGACATACATACAAAGAAACACCCTCTTAGGTGTCCTCGTGCCGGGTTGTGAGAAAGTGAGCGCACACGGGTAACTAGCTCCCGAGTCAAGGAACACAGCCTTGCCAACACTGTCCCCTCCACTGGCGGCCCACCCTCTCACCTCTAGGGCCGTCCGTGGGTGGTGCCTCTGTGTTGACGTTATGGACACAGAATCATCCTGCTATGTGCATTTTAAATTAAAAAAAATTTTTTTTTAATTGAATTTTTTGAGAGAGACAAAGCACGAGCAGGGCAGGGGCTGAGAGAGAGGGAGACGCAGAATCCGGAGCAGGCTCCAGGCTCCGAGCTGTCGGCACAGAGCCTGACGCGGGGCTCGAACTCACGAGCTGTGAGCTCATGACCTGAGCTGAAGTCGGACGCTCAACTGGCTGAGCCCCCCCTGCTACGCGTGTTTTAATGTCTATCTACCTACCTACCCGTGCATTTTAATGTCTGTTATACAGATATGCTACAATTTGTTCCCTTCCCTGCATCTGGAGCTCTGTGGGCACGTGTGCGCGGGCTTTGCTGGCACGTGTGCATTTCTCTGGGGTGTTTATCTTCGGGTAGAATCGCTGATTTGTAGGATATGTTGTATGTTCGTCTCTGGTCGACACCAGTAGGACACTTGTTTCTTCAGCTTTTATTTTTTTGTTTTATTTTTTTTTCCTGCAAATATGGGTAATACGCTTAGATTACACGGAGGAAAAAAGGGAGTGAGAAGGAAACGACATCTAAGTGAGTCACCCAAAAATTCTAACAAAAGTCCGAGGCTGGGTGTAGCCCCCAGGAACCCAGTCACCGTTGATGTTAGGAACTAATAGAAAATTTTACAAAAGTCTGCTCGTTGCAGCATTCAGGCACTTGTACGAAAGAAAGAGGGCTCTCTCTACAGGGCTCCTGACTTGTAACAGGGACCCCTGGTACCTCACCTGACACGGGGGACCCGGAAGTCAGAGAGGAAAGACGACTGGATAAAACAGAAATACAGTCACAGAGGTTCTCTACTGGTCTGCTCTGTAGGGGCACCAACCTCCGGGTTGTTTCCCCTGTTCTCAACTCAACCTGAAAACCCAGTCCCGAGACCCTGTGTTTATTTCAGTTGCTTAAATTTTTTTTTTATTACCACGAGTGGGGGAGAGGGACAGACAGGGGGGAGAGAGAGAGAGAGAGAGAGAGAGAGAGAATCTTGAGCAAGCCCCACACCTAGTGTGGAACCGGACTTGAGGCTCAATCTCATGACCCTGGGATCGTGACCTGAGCCAAAATCAAGAGTTGGATGCCCACTGACTGAGCCATCCAGGCGTTTGACCTTGTGTTTATTTCTAAAAATGCTCTAGCCCTTTAGACGCTCCCCAAGGTTTCCTAGTCCCTGCCCTTGAGCTGTTTCTTCAGCTTTCGATTATGGATAAATCTTCCGTACATGCAGGTTTTGGAGTGAACGTGTATGTGTGCATTTCTCCCGGGAAAATAGTGGGGGTTGTGATCGGTGGGTCAGATGGTGTCTCTGGAACTCGTAAGAAAGGTGTCAATGTCATTTTTAATCTCTTCCTTCTGGAATGTGGTCACCACTCATAGCTGCCGATGTAAGTGGCTAGAAGGTGGCGAACTGCGGGGTGCACGCGGAGAACTGGGGGCGCCGCTCGTTGGCGGCACCTGGCTATTCATTAAGACTCGGAGAGGCCACCGAGGAAGTGGTGTCCGTGGCACTCTTTCAGGGCCACAACGCATGTAGCCGCCACACGTGGGGAAT